AAATAATCAATAGAGGGAAGGTATTTGAATTAAGAAGGACTTGGAAAGGCTTCCAGTAGAAGGTGGGATTTTAGCTGGGACTTGAAGCCAGGAGGTGGTGATGAGGTGGGAGAGTACTCCAGCCAGTGAAACTGCCCTGAGGCAGTTTGGAGTGTCTCGTTGGGGGAATATCACTGGATTAAGGAACAAGTGTGTGTTGGGGTGGAAAGTAAGCTGTAAGGAGACTGGAAAGGTGTGTGTCTGAGGGTTATGAAAGACTTTAATTGAATTCCAAACAGAAGATTTTATATTTGATCCTGGAAATGATAGGGAGTCACTGGAGTTTATTGAGTATGGGGTGACATGGCTGGACCTGCACTTTAGGAAAATCGTTTTGACGGCTAAATGGAGGATGGATTGAAGTAGAGAGAGACTGAGGCAAGCAGGCCTATCATCAGGGTTCACAAACCCTAGTTTGGGAGCCCCTGAAATAGCCATAAATTGGGTAGCTAGGTGGAACAATGGGTAGAGCACCAGGTCTGGAGTCAGGAAGACCTGAGTTCAAATCCGGCCTCAGATACTTAGTAGCTCTGTGATCCTGGGCAAGTTATTCACCCCTGTTGGCCTTAGTTTCCTCATCTGTAAAATAAACTGGAGAACAAAATGGCAAACCACTCTAGTATCTTTGCCAAGAAAACCCCAAATGGGGTCACAAAGTGTGGGACAAGACTGAAAACAACTAAACCTCTTGGCAGTAGGAAATAGAGACGTCTTCCTGGGCTTGAACCAAGTCTCTTAATTTGGCATGGTCAGATCTCAAATTATGGTATGAAGCATCAGTTATCGAAACCAATTACTGAGAGAGACAGAGAGGGAGACAGAGATGGAGAGAGACAGAGAGACAGAGAGACAGAGAGACAGAGAGACACAGAGAGAGAGAGAGACAAAGACAGAGAGAGAGAGAGGGAGAGAGAGACAGAGAGACACAGAGAGAGAGACAGAGACAGAGAGACAGAGAGACAGAGAGAGAGGGAGAGAGAGAGACAGAGAGGCAGAGACAGAGAGAGACAGAGAGGGAGAGAGAGAGACAGAGAGAGACAGACAGAGAGACAGAGATAGAGAGAGACAGAGAGACAGAGAGACACAGAGAGAGAGAGACAAAGACAGAGAGAGAGAGAGGGAGAGAGAGACAGAGAGACAGAGACAGAGAGAGAGAGGGAGAGAGAGAGACAGAGAGACAGAGAGAGACAGAGAGACAGAGACAGAGACAGACAGAGAGACAGAGAGAAAAAGAGAGACAGAGAGAGAGAGAGAGACAGAGACAGAGAGAGAGAGAGAGAGACAGACAGAGACAGAGACAGAGAGAGAGAGACAGAGAGAAACTTGGTAGAAGAGATAAGTCCAAAACAAATTTTCCTCTTGGACTACACTTGGGACCTGAAGTCTGCTTTAGGTTCCTGTTTCCTCTTATAAAATGAGAGGATTGGACTCAATCGAGGCTTCCCAATCTTTTCAAATATATGGACCCCTTTTTAGTATTTTAAAAGATCGGGGCACCCCATTGATGGTAGTCATAATGTTAATATAGTATTCATTATACCAGGGAGTCAGCGCTGAAGGGAACTCATGTCTACCAATGGCTCAGAGCAAATTCATCAAAGACCCCAAGTTTCCTAGGGCCCCGGGTATAAGGGCCTCTGTTTCCAGGGATTCTGAGTTCAGTATTTAAATGCTTGCCCCATGATCAGGGCATAGTCTAGGTGGGCCTCATTCCCCACCATTCAGTTCAATTCAATTAATATGGGTTAATAGGGCCTGGCCAAGTCCCAGGTACTGTCCTAGGTGCTGGGGTTATAGAGACAGAAACGTCTCCCAGGCCTCCAAGGAACTGATCTCTTGTCTTGGGAGACAACAAGGAGATAGATGTGTATGTACAAGGTAATTGGAGGCGGGAGGGAATTCTAACTGAGGGCACTGACAAGGGATTCCTATAGGAGGAGGCACTTTAGCTGGGCCTTGAAGGAAAATGGAGACTCTTCAAAGTGTAGGAGGGGAGGGAGAGCTTTATAGGCCTAGGGAAAGTTACCAAAACAGGAGATGGGAAACTAATTTTAGGGGGCAGCCAGCAGACCATTCTAGCTTAGAGTACCTGGCATGGAGTCAGTCTTCCTAAGTTCAAATTCAACCTCAGACACTTACTAGCTGTGTGACCCTGGGCAAGTCACTTCACCCTATTTGCCTCAGTTTCCTCATCTGTAAAATGATCTGGAGAAGGAAATGGCAAAACCGCTCCAGTACCTCTGCCAAGAAAATCCCAAATGGGGTCACAGAGAGTCAGTTAGAACTGAACAACAGCTATTATTACGAAGGGTTGAGAAGTGAGTGGGAGGTGAGGAATTGGAGGGAGTGAGCACAGCAGACTTTCTACAGGAATTAGGATGATAGCCTGAGAAGGTACAAGAGGCAGTCGAAGGCTTAGAAGGAGGAGGGGAGCCCTCTCCAGACTTGTTTCTCTCTTTAGGAGTTCTAACTTGCAGCCAAACTGGGCCAGGCTGCTTGTTTGCCAAACCTGGCTTCCCCAAGGCTGTTCCAGCTCAGCTCAGCTCCTTCTAAGTTCTAGGAGGGGCAGCCATAGAGCATAGAGCACCATGTCTGGAGTCAGGAAGACCTGAGTTCAATTCCAGCCTCACATACTTACTAACTGTGTGACCTTGGGCAAGTCACTTAACCCTGTGTGCCTCTGTTTCCTCATCTGTAAAATAAGCTGGAGAAGGAAATAACAAACTCCAAGATCTTTGCCAAGAAAACCCCAAATGGGGTCACGGAGAGTCAAACAAGATTGCAAATGACTGAACAACACCAAGTGTTACTAGTACAAAGAATGAAACAATGACTTGCATTCCAATGAGGAAGACCGAAAGTTCATACATAAATATATTCAGCACAAATGTAAAGCAAATAAATACAAGTACATAAAAGCAGGTAAATATAAGTTAGTTTGGAAGAGAAGGCACCAGTTGTGGGGGAGGAGGGCCTCGGAAAGGCTTCCTGCATAACACGGTGCTTGAGCTGCGTCTTATAATAGGAAGAGGATTCTATGAGGAGGAGGTGGTAAGAAGAGAGTGTGCCAGGTGTATGGGATGGCCAATGTAAAGGCATGGAGATCGCAGATGACTGTCATGTGTGAGGAGCTAACAGTAATGAGAGAGAGAGAGAGAGAGAGAGATGAGGGAGGGAGAGAGCAAGAGAGAGAGAGATTATTGAGTCTACAGATAGTATGTTTGCTAAATAAAGACAAAAATAATGATGATTTGTACAGGGACTCCTTTCTGCAAAACTCTGCCTCTCCTCTCTCACCCTGGAAAACTGTGGATGATTAGTTAGAGACCTGAGCTAGATGATCTCAAGGTTTCTCTTAGTTTTCCATTCCATGATCCCAGGATCTGAAGGTCATGGTGCTTGCCTGTTTCTCAGAGTTCTGAATGATGAGAAACACAAAGTGGGATGCTCTGTTTTTCATTAGAACATGGTAGTCTAAGGAAAACTGGGCTATTTTTCCTCCATTAAAGAAAATTCTGGGTCTAAAGGACTCAGCACTTGCTTAGTTAATATTTTGATAGAGAATTTACGGGTGGGTCAACCTGATAGACAGCCGTTCTACAGGAGAAATTCAGACTAGCACTTAACTCTAGTAATATTTGTTGGATACCTGTGGGGTGCAGAGGGATCATGGTGGGTGAGGCAAGGCTAAGGCCGAGGCCAAAGAAACAGAACATCCTTGCCCCTTTGGAGAATGGAGACATGAAAACAATCACATACATGAAAGACTTAAGGGCACTAAGAAATAAAAAAAAAAACCACTACAAGATAAATCAAGAGGTATTTCTCTTCTAAGGACATGTAACCATGTATACTCTCCCAAGTATTTTTTTCTTAAATTAAAAAATAGATATTTCATAAAACCTGAAGACTGGGAGTCGGTGGCTGTCTGTACAATGGTCCAGAGATAAGTGTTGGCAGAGAAGCTCAGCACATCTCTTTAGCTGATGTGTGTCCCTGAGTGCTCCTCCTTAAGGGACTCATTTGAAAGTCCTTGAGGACAGACACTGTTTCATGTTTCTCTTTGCATCCCCAGCCCCTAGAATAATGCCCTGCCCATAAGGATATGCTTAGCAAAGGATTGTTGAATTGAAACGCAAGATGGCCCAGGATGATTCACTAACAATAATAATGACAGTTTACATTTACAGAACTTTTCCAAGCTTACAAACCTTCCTCCTATGTTTGTTGTTCTTTGGTCATTTCGGTTGTGTCTGACTCTTTGCGACCCCACTTGGGTTTTTCTTGGCAAAGATACTGGAGTGGTTTGCTATTTCCTTCTCCAGTTCATTTTACAGATGAGGAAAACTGAGGCCCACAGGATGAAATGACTTGACCAGGGTCACTCAGTTAGTATGTGTCTGAGGCTGGATTTGAACTCATGATGATGATAAGACTTGCTGAAATGCCTTTGGAAAATGCCCCGACGACAGTAAACAGAGCATGCCAAAGGTGGCCCTCAGAGCTCAGCTTTGTTTCAAAAGCAGGGGCTGGTATGGTGCCTTGCCTGCTCAGGACATTCACATAGGAGCTGGACGACCTAACCCCATGTGCCTTCCTGCACTGTAAGAATTATTCATTCGATAATGGCAAATATTGATTCTCACAGCCTATTGACAAAAGTGGAATATTCCTGCTTTCCCCCGATGGGCACTGAGCTCCTGCAGCATTCTCCCGGGGACCACCAATAGCCAAAGCATTGATTCTGCTAAGGTTTGAGGACCTCCTGCTGTCCATGTAGGAAGAGCACTAGTGCCTTTAAACCCAGGCCAAGCCCACATCTGTGCTGTGTCTTTGACTCATAAGTGACCAAGGGGGATAAGAGATGTAAGGGTACCCAGAGATGGCCTCAAACTGATAAACTGCCACAGATGGCAGTGCACATTAGTCAAAAGAAAGACCTTTGTGTTAATAGAGCTTACCTGGGCAAGAACTTGAGTTGAACACTGTATGAAGACTGGGCTTGAATGTAACCAGTTTCTGGGAGGAGTTCCATGTGCTTTCGCAATTTTTCGCATACTTCAAATTTCAGACGCAGGGCAGCTTTCGACCTGAACAGAGATCAACTGTCAGTGTTTACTCTTGGGTTTGGGACTTGGATTAGTTATTCCATCATTCTAAATAGTAATGAATGTTGGGAGATTTTTTCTTTTTGGGGGAGGGAAAAGTGTTCCTGACTGTGGGGATGTAATGGGAATGAGAGAGAGAGACAGAGACAGAGACAGAGAGACAGACAGACAGACACTGAGAGAGAGAAGAAGAAGAAGAAGAAGAAGAAGAAGAAGAAGAAGAAGAAGAAGAAGAAGAAGAAGAAGAAGAAGAAGAAGAGGAAGAAGAAGAAAGAAGAAAGAGGAGGAGGAGGAGGAGGAGCTAAGGGCCCGGCAGGGAGAAGAGGACTTGGATGGGCAGTGTTTGTCCATCTTGCATGGGAAGTCACCACAGAAACATGAGATACATCCTCTGCTATGCCTAGTAGACGTCATTACAGGACACCATAAAGAGAAGACTGGAATTTGAGGGGAAGGAGGGAGACAGAGAGAGAGAGAAAGAGGGATGTGGGGAGAGGAGGGGGAGGGAAGGAGTTTGAAAGGGACTGTCAGTTTCCTCATCTGCAAAATGGGGATCAAAATACTTATATAAAACCCTAAGTCCTAGGGTTGTTGTAAAGAAAGTGCTTTGTAGATCTTAAAGCATTATAAAAGGGAGCGGGGAGGGTGTCTTCAGCTATCTGGGAGAAGCAGACCAAGACAGAAAGGGAGCTCAGTGAGGTGGGAGCTCCCATGACAGGAACCCTTATACTCAGGGCTATAACTCAGGGGATCTAAATACATCTTTGGGATTAATAGTCACTCATTCAAGGTTTCAATGTACTTTTCTCTTTTTTAATAAAGCTTTTTTTTCTGTAATGTATATTGAGTGTTTTTTTAAGCAGAGAACTGGTCTTAGGATATACTCCTGGGGTAGGGGTTTCTCCAGCCTTTAGGGGTGGGCTTAGCGCCTGAACTAAGAGTACAAACATCCCCTAGAAGTGTTCTTGGGTTCTTCCTGTCATGAGACGACTTCTGTCATAAGGGTTCCCAAAAGCTGCTTACACTTTGAAGCGTTTCAAAGTTTAAAGAAATAATTTAGGACACTAGCAAGCAAACAAGTGATAACCGACTTGCCTTCTACATGCCTAGTGCCTAGGATTTAGCTATTAAAAGGTCAAAATCCAGTTTCCTTAAGCTTTACCCTTACCATAGCACCCTTGAAATAAAATCATGAGACAAAAACAAAAATAGAGCCAAACAGCCCCAACCAGTATAATTTTCTGGGAAGAACAAAGCCTCTAGTCTGGCATTATCAGATCTCAAATTATATTATAGAGCAGTAATTATCACAATGATCTGGTATTGGATAAAAAAATAGAAAAGTTGTTCGGTAGAATAGATTGGATAAGCAAGACTTGTAAGGAAATGCAGAGCAGCCTAAGCTTTGAGAAACTCTTAAGAACATAAAGAGGTTTGGGAAACTTTTTATTCAACTACAACTGCTACAAAAACCTGACAGCAACCAGGAGGGAAATAGCTTTCGACCAGCAGAGTATACCATCTACATAATAAATTCCAAATGGACAAAGGAGAATGTCACAATATTAAAAATTAAAAGAGAATGAATTAGGGAAGAGTTACTAAACTGCTGTGATGTAGAAAGTAGTATAAAAGACAACAAGCTAACAATTTTTATTTTGGAAAAATAAAAGGCACTGGTACAAATAAAATAAATGTGGCCAGAATAAAAAGAAAAGATATGGGATGGGAAAAAAATATTTGGATGAAACTTCTTTGACAAAGGCTTGGTGTCCAAAATCCTCAAGGAAATTGATGCAAATCTCTAAGAGCAATTTCCTAGGAGATAAATGGCCAAAGGATGTGGACAAATAATTCATAAGAGAAGAAATGCAAGAAATCAACAGTCACCTTAAACTCTCAAAATTGTAAAATATATCTGAGATATCAACTTTGCCATCAAACTGACAAAGACAGTAAAAGATAGAAAAATTAATCTTTGGTACATTGGTAGGATGTAGAAAACACACACACACACAATACACACACACACACACAAACACACAGTAATTCATAACCGCTACAACCATGAATTGGCCCAACTATTTTGGCAAATAATTTGGAATTATGCAAAAAATGTTACCAAAATGCTTCTATCCTTTGACCCAGTGATCCCATTCTTGGGCTTATAACTCCTAGGGAGGTAATTGACAACAAGAGTAAAATTTCTATCTGTAAAAATATGCATAGCAGCCATGTTAATAATAGCAATAGAAAGTATGCCTAGCAACTGGAGCATGACTATACAAATTGTGCTATGTGAATGTAATGAAATATTGCTGTGCCAAAAGGAATAACAAAAGGGAAGAAATTTAAGGAAATATGAGAAAATGTATGAAGTGACATGGAGTGAACAAAAGAACAAAACACAAAAATTATTATAACTGTGCTAAATGAAGAAAATTCCAAATGACAACAGAACTCGGATAAAAACACGATGTACTACCTTTTAAATCATTTATGCATTCTTTTAATAAATGGAAAATGACTAAAGTGTTAGGTTATATGTTATTGTTCAGTTCTTTCAGTCGCATCTGACTCTTCGTGATCCCATTTGGAGTTTTCTTGGCAAAGATACTGGGGTGGTTTGCCATTTCCTTCTCCAGCTCATTTGACAGATGAGGAAACTGAGGCAAACAGGGTGAAGTGACTTGTCCAGGGTCACACAGTTAGTAAGTATCCGAGGCCAGATTTGTCAGGAAGATGAGTCTTCCTGACTCTAAACCTGGTGCCGTAGACACTATGGAGCCACCTAGCAGCCCCTAGGTTATATGTGTTCAGTTGTAATTACTCTTATGTTATTTTATTTAAATATTTTCAGGGGGGCAGTTAGGTGGCACAGTGGATAGAGCACTGGCCCTGGATTCAGGAGGATCTGAATTCAAATCCGGCCTCAGACACATAACACTTACTAGTTGTGAGACCTTGGGCAAGTCACTTAACCCTATTGCTAGCACCTCCCCCCAAAAAAAGAATAGAAAAAAATAATAAATATTTTCAGGGATCATATATTACTGGAAAGTCATCTGGAGGGACACTAGAAGCATGTATAGAGGAAATGTGGCAGAGTGGAAAGAGCTCTGGATCTGGATTCAAATCCCACCTTGCCTCTTACCATTTGTGTGACCTTTGGCAAGTCTCTGCCCCTTTCTGGGCCTCAGTTTCTTCAACTGTAAAGTGAGGAGGTGAGATCTAGACTAGATGAACTCTAAATTTCTTTCTATCTCTAACAAAATATATCAATAAACTTGATTTTTAAAGTATGAAACTTCTTAGAAAGTCCACTGGGTATAAGACCATAGAAGTAATATATGATTAGACCAAAGAAGGTTTACCTGTTGACTTCTGCTTGGGTTGGGTGCTAAGTCTCGTGTCCAAGATGCTCAGTTACTCTCCAAGGACAAAAGTACACAGGTATGCTTGTGGATTTCATCTTCCCTCCGGGGGCTCTGCATGGATCACCCTGGTAGCCCTATGCACCATCTTCCTTAATAGTGGGCTTGGACTGATTTGATAATCGAAGAACAGTTACCCCCATCTCTTGCAAAACCCATAAAATGGAACTGATAATACATCCCTGCTTAAGTCATGCATGGCCTTGCATAATAGTTTGATTGTCACCATACAGCTACTAATGCTTTCTAAGTCTTGCTGTTAGGTTCTGACCTGGTGTAGTGAGCTGGATTCTTTGATTACAAATAATTCCTTTTGAACTCTACCACTCAGATATATCACCCAAGGCCCCTCCCTTTTTCTTTCTTTTTAATGGGTACTGAAATGAAAATATCATGGCTGCATGGAAATGTGGCATCTGAAATCAATGTTTCCTGCAGTGATTAATGAGAGGATACTTTTATGTTTATTTTTGCTTTAAAACAAATTCAACTTGGTTTCCCAAAGAAAATGATGGAGTGGATTTAGCTATAATGTGAATTAATTAGCTATCCTGTTTTGGAAAAAAAAATGGTAAAAATGCCAATTCCTTAGTTTACTTCCTGACTTATTCAGGAGAAACACAGATCCCCTGCCAGAGCAATGAGAGCCAGAAACACAGAAACTCAGAATTGAAAGGCATCTCACAGGTCACTTGGCCCAACCTAGATCTGACTAGAAGCTTCTTGAGGGCAGACACTTTCATTCTTGCCTTTGAATTCCCAGCATAGCACCTGGTACATTGGAAATGCTTAATGCTTGTCCAATGTAATTTAATTGATTAGTAATTCTCTCCACAAAAGGCTGGATCACTCACAGTCAGTCAATTAGGATTTATTAAATACTAAACACTGTGTTAAGTGCTAGGGATTCAAAAAGAAGCAAAACAGAGTCCCTTCCCTCAAGGAGTGACCAAGATGAGGGATCTACTGCCTCCTGAGGGAACCTTTCTGTTTTATATAGATTCTAATTGTTATTGCTTTTCCTTATATTGAACTGAAATCCATTCTCTCTCCCATCCATTACTCCTGGTCTTGCCCTCTGGGACCAATGGCACCAGGTATAATTCTTCTTCCAGGATATGTCATAGCAGTTTCTGAATCTCTCCACCTCTCCATTCTGCACCCTCCACAATTAAACCTCCTTAATTATGACCACTGATGCTCAGATCACATAGTTCCAGGATCAGTGTCTTCCTCCTTGGGATTCAATCTGGCTCGTCAATGTCATACCCCAGGCTGCCATCTTGAAACAGTCAAATTCCTTCTCTGACTTTTGAGAGTCCATTCATATTTCACTGGTCCACAGGAGTCACTTGGGTCTCTTAGGGATGGGAGTCCCCTCAACAAGTTGCTGAGTGGGCTTCTTTCTGGTCTTGGCTTTGCATGTTCACAGGTAAATGAGTGGAAAAATGAAAGTCACCACATCAACACCTTGGGTCACCAAGTCCGGCCTCTGAGGATCACAAATTGGCATCTTCCTCTCAGATGGATATACAGGCACATCAAAATGGCCCGTTCTTAACTAGCAACCATGGCGCTCTGGGCACTGGGATCTGGTTTCCTTTTTTAGACAAAGAGGTTAAAATGCTGGGGTATGTCATATAAATGACAAAGAAATTCTGTTTTGAGTAAAATGACTTTAAAGAATCCTAGCTCTGGAGCTGGAAGGGTAACTAGAAACTCCCTGGTCCAACTACCTCATTTGTCAGATGAGAAAACTGAGACTGAGGTATGTGAAGTGACTTGTCTGAGGTTATACAGGCAGTATCAGTCATCTATGTCCCTCTAAGAAATACGGGTAGGGCAACTAGATAGAGTGCCTGCCCTAGAGTCAGAAAGACTTGAGTTCAAATTTGACCTCAGACACTTACTAGCCATGTGATGCTGCGCAAGTCACTTAACGCTGTTAGTCTCAGTTTCCTCATCTGTAAAATGAGCTGGAGAAGGAAATGGCAACCCTCTCCTCCTCAGTATCTCTGCCATGAAAACCCCAAATGGGTCACGAAGAGCCAGACACAACTAATCGATTGAAAAATAATAAATACAGAATAAGAAATAAGAAACAATAAGAAATAGACGTGTGGTGCTCTCTGGCTTTTTATTTTTTGGGGGAGTTTTTGAGTAGCTGAGAACCTTCCTGCCCTAGAAAGAAAAAGCATTCCATCATTGATCAACAAACATATATTAAGTACCTATTCTGTGAAAAGCACTGTGGGAAAGAGAAAAATAGTTCCCCTCCCCCAAAAAAGTGAAAAACAGCTCCCCCTCTCCCCTTCTCAGTTTCCCTGAGCAGGAAGAAGGCTGCTGGAGGCTGTATCCAAAGAGATGGCAGCCTGTATAATTATCGATATGAACTCATATTTTCCTCTGGAACAAAAATAAATACTGTGGCTGCTAAAAACGCTCTGAGAATGCCAACTTGAATCCAATTTTAGTTCTTCAGCATTACCTTTCAGAGAAGATGGGATGTGGATGTACTTTGACTTGAAAAGAAACTTGGCTTTTTCTTTCGGGTTTTTGCAGATGAAGTTGGCCACGGTTCGTCTTTCCACAGGCAGTGTGGTGGCATTTTACAAGCACGCCTGCTAGGTTACTCAACTTACACAATATACTGTAATGTACTTTATTTTTTCCTCTATTATTTAAAAAAATCTCAAACCATAGCTCCTTAATATGAGAAAAAATGCACTCATCAATAGGGCAGCAATGATGGTTTTGAAACTGGAAAAAAAAATCTATTAATTTGCAAAGTGTGACAATAACAGAATGAAATGGATTTTTTTTTTAAACTCAGAGACTTGAATTTTCTCATTCCAATGATGTGGTCTGCTTCAAAGCAGTCACCTTAGGAGGCTCCAGACTTAGAAGAAATGTCGAAAGAACAACTGAGTTCTTAGAGCCCCAGGTCTGTCCCTTTCCCATTGTATGACCACAGCAAAATCAGTTTCCTCATCCATAAAATGGGGATTATTCATTGTTGTGGCTCAGTCACATCTGACTCTTTGTGACCCTATTTGGGGTTTTCTTGGCAAAGATACTGGAATGGTTTGTTATTTCCTTCCCCAGCTCATTTTACAGATGAGGAAACTGAGGCCAACAGGGGAAGTGACTTGCCCAGGGACACACAGTTAGTAAATGTCTGAGACCAGATTTGAACTCAGGAAGATAAGTCTTCCTGACTCCAGGGCCATACCACCTAGCTTCCCTGTAAAATGGGGATAGGAATATTCAAACTGTTGTTGTTCAGCCATTTTCTGTCCTGTCTGAGCCTTCACTCTCCATGACCTCATTTGGGCTTTTTTTTGGCAGAGATACTGGAGTGGTTTGCCATTTCCTTTTCCAGCTCATTTGACAGATGAGGAAACTGAGGCAAACAGAGTTAAGTGACTTGTCTAGGGTCATACAGTTAGCAAGTACCTGAGGCTGGATTTGAACTCAGTTCTTCCTAACTCCAGACCCAGGGCTCTATTGACTTTGCCACTCAGGAAGGAGCATGCTTAGTAAATCTTAAAAGTACTACATATATTTAGGTTATTGTTCAAGTTACATACTTTTTCCCCTAATGATCAGCCACTATTTGAAAAAGTTTTGAATGTGAACTGTCTTCAGAGCTAGTTATGAGTCATACCAAAAAAAAAAGATATCATGTTTCTTTATAGTCAGTCACTCTTCAGTTATTATACCAAAATAATAGTGCTCAACTCAATCAGCTCCTGATCTGGAAAAGCTTAGAGCTGCTGCCAAAGGTTAGATGTTCCCTCAGAGTACCAAAGTAGCCTGCCACTGAGGAGATTCGAAAGGATGCATGCCCATGGACTCTGAAGCTAGTAAGGAGACAGGAGGCTCAGAAGTGGTTCTTGGGATATCTGTCTTACAGGAAGATGCATGCAACTGGATAAGGTGACAACATCCATGGCATGGATAACTAGAATGGAAACTAGCCCTCACTGGGGGCAGGTAGGTGGTGCAGTGGAGTCGGGAAGACTTGTCTCTATGATGGAGATGGGTAACTTTGGTAGAGTGCTCCATTTCGTCCCTGGTGGGTGGCTCACCTGGTTTCAATTATGACAGCATCTTGATATAATCGATCATACATGCAGATGTTCAGGTCCACATTTGGTTTTGGAACCCAGACAGGCACGATAATAGCAAGCCCAATAGCTGTGAAACATAACTGGGTTCAAAAACACAAAATCAACAAAATTTATATCCTGAGTCAGTTCATCAGTAAACTTATTAAATCCATTTATCATATGAGAGGAACTTCAATGGACCCTTCTCCCAAACCCCCAGAGTTCCTCTTCAGTCCACCCTTTCCTCCAATAATCCACTCAACATTGGAGTGAACCTTGGAACAGAACTGGCCTCACTGGTGGCTGCAAAGTGATCACCAGAATGTACCTGATGCCTCTATAACCAGGCAGGCCCCAGGACTCCACCAAACCTTGCCTTGATCATCAGCCCTCTAACTGCCTCCATGTGGACTCCCAGCCCCACCTCCAATCCCCAATCTGCTTTCTACTTCCTGCTCAGAGACTGATCATCAAATCAATGTTACTATTGCTCCTTTTGAAGGGTGTAACCAATCTACCGCCTTAAACTAAGTCACTGACTGCCTAGGTAAAAGCTCTCTTCCCTAGCCACCATTTTCCCTCCCTCAAACTAGTCATATGTATTCATATGTAGTCATATTTGTAGCTATTTTGTATATAATTTTCTACATACATGATCAGGGAATTTTACCTTTGTTATCTCTAGTGCCTAGGGTGGGGTCTGGAGCATAGCAGATGCTTAATTACTAAATGTTCATTGAACTGAATTGGCCAGAAATGGCTGAAGAATGATCAATAAGCATTTATTAAGCACCTACTACGTGCCAAGTGCTGCGTTAAGAGCTGGGGATACAAAAAAAGGCAAAAGACAGTCCTTGCCCTCAACGAGCTTACAATCTAACGGGGGAGACAACATGTAAACAAATATATAAAAAGTAAACCAGATACAGGATAAATAGAAAATAATTAACAGTTAAATAAATTAACAATTTAATTTAATAATTAAATAATTAACACTGGCATTAAGAAGATTTAAAGAAGGCTTCCCATAGAAGGTGCGGTTTTAGTTGGGACTTAAAGGAAGACAAGGGGGTCAGTAATTGGAATGGAGGAAGGAGAGTGTTCCAGGCATGGAGGGCAGACAAAGAAAATGTCTGAAGCTGAGAAGGAGAGTGTCTTATTTGAGGAATGGCCAAGAGGCCAGTGCCATTGGATTGAAGTGTGTGGTAAGAAGTAAAGTGAAAAAAGAAAGCAGATTTTATTTTCAATCCTGCAGGTGATAGGGAGCCATGGAATTTATTGAGGAGGGAGTGACATGCTCAGATCTGTGCTTTAGGAAAATCACTTTAGTGGCTGAATGGAGGGTGGACTGAAGGAGGGAGAAACTTGAGGCAGACAGACCCACCAGGAGCTATTGCAACAGTCCAGATGTGAGGTGATGAGGGCCTGCACCAGAGGGGCAACAGTGTCAGAGGAGAGAAGGGGAAGGGGCTTATTCAAGAGATGCTGCAAAGGTGAAGTGGAATAGGCCTTGGCATCACATTGGACATGGGAGAGTGAGAAAAAGTAAAGAATAGAGGAAGATACTTAGGTTGCAAACCTGGGGGTTGGAGAGGATGGTGGTATCCTCAACAGTAACAGGAAAGCTTGGGAGGGCAGAGGGCTTAGAGGGAAAGATAATGAGTTCAGTTATGGACATGGTCCATTAGACGTGGCGTTTAAGATGTTGGAAAGGCAGTTGGAGGTGTGAGACTAGAAGTCAGCAGAGAGGTTAGGGCCAGATAGGTAGATTTGAGAATCACTAGCATAAAGGTGGTAATTAAATTCATGATGAGGTCACCAAGTGAAAAAGCTTAGAGGGAGAAGGGAAGAAGGTCCAGGACAGAGCCCCGTGGAACACCCACAGTTAGTGGGAAAAGACTCAGCAAGGAAGACTGAGACGGAGCAAATGAACAGACAGTAGGAGAACCAGGAGAGAGTGGTGTCTCAAAAACCAAGACATGTTTCAGTCATGTCTGACCCTCGACCCCATTTGGGGTTTTCTTGGAAAAGATACTGGAATGGTTTGCCATTTCCTTCTCTAGCTCATTTTACAGATGAAGAAACTAAGGCCAATAGGGGTAAGTGACTTGCCCAGGGAGAGCATTTATCAGCTAATAAAAACCTGAGACTTGAAAAATGTCCAAAGGAGGCAAACTTAGTTCTCCTTGGGAGCTTATCAGCCTTAAAGATCAGAGGCAGCCATGGGACAAGAATAAAGAAAACTTCTATCCTTGATCGACAATGGTTCCTATGGAAAGACCACAAAATGAGAGAGGGCAGTGCCACCATGTACTCCTGTAACTGTTAGGCCATGGAATGAGGAAGACTTTTGGTATTATTGACTTTGTGAACAAAACACATGCATGTTGAGCTGAGCGCCTTTCACATGTATAGCATGGTGCTAAATCAATTAATTGATCAATCAGCAAGCCCTTGTTGAGCACCTACTGTGTGCCAGGCATTGTGCTGGTTGGGATACAAAGGTGAGCACCTACTATATGCCAGGCATCATGCTAGTTGCTGAGGATACAAAGATGAGCACCTACTATGTACCATGATGGTTGCTGAGGATACAAAAACATAGAATATAATAACCTCTGCCCTTAAGAAGCTTCCGTTCTAACAGGAGACAAAATGTACATATATACCTATGTACAGAATAAATACAAAATAATTAAATACAAGATAGTTGGGGAGAGAGGGAAGGTACCAACCTTTTCTCTGGGGGGGGGGGGCGATGGTGGATCAGAAAGGCTTTCCCCAAATGATGGCATTTGAGCTGTAACTGGAAAGAGGTAAGGGATTCTGTGAGGTTGGGGGTGAGGGAGCAGAGCATTCCATGCATGGGGGATGGCCAAGGCAAAGACACAGAGATGGGAGATAGAGTGTCATGTGTAAACAACTGCTGGACTGTAGAATACAGGAAGGGGAGTGATGTGTAATGAGCTGGAAAGATAGGTTGGGGTGAGGTTGTAAAGGGTTTTAAAGAATTAACAAGGGGCGGCTAGGTGGCGTAGTGGATAGAGCACCGGCCCTGGATTCAGAACCTGAGTTCAAATCCAGCCTCAGACACATAACACTTATTAGCTGTGTGACCCTGGGCAAGTCACTTAACCCCATTGCCTGGCCAAAAAAAAAAAAAAAAGAATTAACAGAGGACTTTGTAAGTTCATATTTTATTCTTGAGGAAAAAGAGATCTATTGGAGTTTATTGAGTACAGGAGTGAATGGCATGATCAGATCTGTACATGAGGAAAATCACTTTGATGGCAATATGGAAGATGAAGGAGAGGCTTGAGGCTGGGAGACTATTGCAATGGTCCAGCCAAGAGGTGATGAGGGCTTGAGGCAAAGTGGTAGCTTTGGAGTAGAGAGAAGGGCTTGGATGTGAGATGTTACAGAGACAGATATTTGGCAACTGATTAGATTCATGGGATGAGGGAGGATAAGGAGTATAGGAAAGTGATGAGGGTCTGTACTTGGAAACCTAGAAGAATGGTAGGGCCATTGATGGAAATTGGGAAGTTTAGAAAAAAGGTGGATTTGGGGGGAGAGAGAATGATTTCTGTTTCGAACATGTTGATTCTCCAGTTTGAAATGTCTAGTAGGCAGTTGATGATGCAAGGCCAAACTGGGGAAAGATAGCTAGATCTGTGGGTCAGCTGTGCACAGAGATGATAATTAAGCCCATGGGAGCAAATGAGGACACCAGGAGAAAGTGTATAGAGAAAGAAGAGAAGAAGGCTGAGGACAAGAAGATGGGCAACACTCACAGTTAAGGTCCATGACTGGATGATGAAGCCTGAAAAAGAGACTGAGAAGGAGGAGACAGACAGGTAAAGGGAGAACCAGGAGAATTACACCTGGGAATAAAAAAACCAGCTTCTAAAACATCATGTATTTTAAAAAAAGCAACAACTTGTAAATGAATGGGAGAGCATCTGTTTTTAAATCTCATAGATCTATGGATATTTGCTCCAAATGGAAATTTTGGAGAAGGGGGTATCCATGACCTTGATGAAAGCGATCTGGTGGTTCACTGCTCTCTATAAATTAAAAAACAGTCCTTTACTGCCTTTCCTTTTTCTCTAAGGTACTTATAGTGACAGGAGGACGCATTCCCCATGTTTCCTCTGGCTACTCAGCCTTGGTGCCTCTCCTACCTGTTTTATGAGGTTTTTGAGCATTCTGCGGCTCAACTCCTTGACATTTATTGCACTCCCTCCCCACCCCCACCACTTCCCCCACTGTTCCCCCACCCTTGCCCCCCAACCCCCACAACCTAGACCAAGGGTTGTCCATTCTGCCGGAAAGAATATACATGAAGGACAAAACAAAGGGAACTGGAACACTTACAGGTTGGCAATCAGGATTCTTAAACGTGAGTTGAAACTTGGCTTCCGAAGATCCTGGGATCATTGGGGTGAAGATTATGGGAATTTTGACAGAGCTGAAGGGTCCAATTTCATTGGTTGTTACCTACACAGAGAAAGCCAAGAGGAGTTAGCAAATCTTGGGAGAGGGGGCTTGCCTTTCTCTGGATCCCCAGTGCTTAGCACAGTGCCTGGAGTATGTCATTGTTCAATAGTGTCTGACTCTTCATGACCCCATGTGGGGTTTTCTTGGCAGAGATACTGGAGTGGTTTGCTATTTCCTTCTCCAGTTCATTTGACAGATGAGGAAACTGAAGCAAATAAGGTTAAGTGCCCAGGGTCACACAGCTAATAAGTGCCTGAGACTGTATTTGAACTCTGGAAGATCAGCTTTTCTGACTCCAAGTCTGACACTATCTAACGTACTGCTTAGCAGTTGGTGTTTTTTGTTTTGTTTTGTTTTTGGCAATTGGGGTTAAGTGACTTGCCCAGGGTCACACAGCTAGTAAGTGTCAAGTGTCTGGTCTGAGACAGGATTTGAACTCAGGTCCTCCTGACTCCAGGGCCGGTGCTCTATCCACTGCGCCACCTAGCTGTCCCTGTCCATGTTTTCAAGTAGATAAAAGAAAATGGGATTAACAAGGAAGGGGAAAGAAAGAGAACACGCATGTATTAAGTCCCAACTATGTGCCAGGCACTGTGCTAAGCACTTTATAAACATTGTTTCATTAACCCTGGGAGGGAGGTGCCACTATTATTTACAGCTAAGGAAACTAAAGCAGATAGAGGTTAAGTGACTTTCTCAGGGTCACACAGTTAGTAAATGTTTGAGGTTGGATTTGAATGCGGGTTTTTCTGAAACCAATTATATTTGTAATAAGGATATGGACATGTTGCATATGGAAATACAATGATCAATATCATGTTCAGGGTCCCCTGAGCCCTACACCATGCAAGCCATATGATTTCTTTGAAGTCCTCAAGGTCAAATATGACCACACCTGTAATGTATAGCTGTCTTTGGGCCAATGCGATAGAAACAGAGCCCCTCAAAACCCAGGAAGCCAGGGTTATATCAGCACCCAAAGAGTTGTGCTAGAATCAGACTCACTTTGGGAATACAAGGATTCAGCTGCCTTTTTCTTGTTTAAAATTTGGTCAAATTTGATGTTCAAATCTAGATGGCCCAGTGGATAGAGCACTGGGCCTAGAGTCAGGAAGACTTGAATTCAAATCCAGCCTCAGACACTTATTAGCTGTGTGACCCTGGACAAGTCACTTAACCCTGTCTGCCTCAGTTTCCTCATCTGTAAAATGAGCTGGAGAAGGAAATGGCAAACCACTCCAGTATCTCTGCCAAGAAAACCCAAAATAGGCCACAAAGAGACAGACGTGACTGAAATGACTGAACAACAACAACAAAGTTGTTAGCAATGAAATGGTCTTGCATAAACAGTTTGGGGCTGCTGAAGGATGTGTTGTCACTTCAGACTCTCTGCCTTGGGTCCGACTGTTTGCAGGACAATATTAGCTAGCTGGGGGCCTGGAGCTTGGGATGTTCTTTACCTCTCCCAGTCTGATTTCTGCTTGGCTTCCACCAGAGTTAATTTCTACTTCCTCGGATGTGGGCTCTTCGACTGTAATGATGGCGTGTTCTTGGTATGGTTCTGGAAACAGAGGCAGAAAGACTGAGATCCTGGAAGGCACAGACCCCAATTTCTCCCTTTGTCACTCCAGCAGCATCACATAGTACAAGGCGGGGTACCCAGTGCGTAGGTGTGCTTAAGGTATTCTGCTGATATTGGAGGTAAATTTTTAAAAGTTCTCTCAATGTCCTAATGAATAAAAAGGGAAAGGCTGACTGATGACTCTGAGGATCTCTCCTGCTCCTCTTCTCAACAGAAAGGTCTCATCTACCTAGGCAGCAGTGGTTACATAACACAACTGCTGTCAAAGAAGGTATGACTCAGACCCCCATGAGCACAGAAGAGTCTCACTTGCAGCTTCTAGCACAGACTGAAGCCTATACAGGAATAACCAGTTCAGGAATTATTGACCTAGGGGAAGCCTGCAGTTTCATCATTTCAAGTGAATAGAGCTTCCCCACTATTTGATTGGGACATAGCCTAGCAGCAGTCTACTCCTGCTCAGACCCAAACCTAGATCAGGACCTTGCAGAGCTGCAGGGGGGCAGCAATCAGATGTTGCTCTGGATCATACCCCTTTGGGAGCATTGAAAACTTGCAGGTCCCCAGCCTGGGTTGTCTGTGAGGTCCTGGAATAGCACAGATCTCAATAACCCAAGAAACAAACAGCAGGACCATCTCAGACTTTCCTGAGCCCAGCCCCAAGATCAAGCCCAAAGTCAAGAGGTAAGCTGGAAGAATGAGGAAAAAAAAGAAGAATCCATCATTAAAAGTTACTATGGTGAAAGGGATGCTCAAGCCATAAGGCTAGAAGAAGAGGATGGCTCACAAACATCTATAAACAAAGGCTCAAGTTAAAATGCAGCCTGGGCATGAATTCAACTAGAATTTCTGGAAGAGATGAAACAAGAGTGAAAAAATATTTTTGATCAATGAAATGAGAGTACTTGAGAAAAAAATTGGTGAAGAAATGAGAGCTACGGAAGAAAGAATTAGAAAGGAAATTAACAGCTTAGCATGAGTTTGTTGCCCAAGCAACAAACTACCTGAAAATTAGGATGGACCAAATAGAAGCTAATGACTCCATGAGATGATAAGAAATTTTTTAAAAATCAAAATACTGGAAAAAATAGAAGAAAACGTAAGGTATCTCAGCAAAAACAATTGGCCTGGAATAAAAAAATACAGAGGAGAAAAAAATTTAAGAATCATTGGATTACCTAAACATAATGATCAAAATTAAAGAGATTAGACATCGTATTTCAAGAAATTATATAAAAGGACTCTAATTAAAAAGGCATAAAAATATTTATAGCTCTTTCTGAGGTAGCAAAGAATGGGAATCAGAATGAGTGGCCATTGTTTAGGGAATGGCTGAACAAGTTATGGTATATAAATGTGATGGAGTATTATTGTGCTATAAGAAATGATGATTGAAAACTAAAACTAAATTAATTAATTAAAAAATAAAGACTTCAATTGAGAAAAAAAGAAATGATGAAGGAGGTGGTTTCAGTGGATGCAGAGTGAAGGAACAGAATCAGCAGGACATTTTATACAATGAAAGCAATATGGCAAAGATAAACAATTTTGAAAGACTTGGGAACTCTGATTATGTCATCCAGAAAACTCAGGATGAACCGTGACAACCACCTCCTGATAGAGAGATGAAGGACTCAGAAGGCAGAATGAGGCACATACTTTTTTGGACATGGAATGCCCGATATGGAAATGTGTTTTACTGGACTATACATGTGTGTAATAGGGGCTTGGTTTTTCTCTCATTCTCAGCTGTGGGTGGGGAGTGGGAGGGAGATAAGATGGAATTTTACAGGTTCAAAAAATATAATTTAGAAAATAAAATTACATAGGGGGTCTTGAAATATTTAACAATAACTCCAATTGAGTTGGATCCCTCTCTGCCTTCAATTTAAGCCAACTCCACTTCTTCCAGGCTCTGTGAGAGGCTAAATCAGGTTGAGATGAGAAACAAAGGCAGTGTTCCAGGATGGGACCACCTGATAGAAAGCTTGCTGGCTCTATAGATCTTAACACTGACAGGGAATAGCTTCTTAATCTTCTTTGTGTCACAGACCCCTTCGGCAATCTTGAGAAGCTTCTGAACCTCTTAGAATGTTTTCAAATGTATAAAATAAAACACATAGGCTTACAAAGGAAATTGATTATACAGTGAGTCCTAAAAGGCTTAATGGAATTTCAAGCTTTAATAGAATAATAAAATGTTGTTTGTTATTTATATATTATTATTTTAAAGATTATTATTTAAACTATTAAAACTTAGAATTCCGCTATGACTTTTGGGATACCCTCTATTGAAATACAATTATTAAAATATTTTTAAAAACAAATTCATGGACCCCGGATTAGGACTTTCTGGTCTGGGATCTCCTGACCAGAGAACTTAGTAGCAATGCATACTCTGTCTAAACCAGTGGTCTTACCTTCAGAGAGGGTGGTTGAGACTCTAGGTTTTATGCCTGGAATGATATCTGGGGTGGGAGGACAATAGACCTCACTCTGGGTATCCTGGAGATTGGTGGTGTTTTTCTCCTCATTAACTTTATCATCCAATGAATATAAAGTGCCCTAAAAGGCAAATGAATAAAAAAACAACAACTTCACTTAATTTTCAAATATATAATTAGATGCTCAACTGAATGTAAATACTTTGTGAAGAGTGATGCTTTTCATTCGTTGTGTTTGTTATCAGCAGTATCTAGCACATCACATGACACACAGTAGGCATTTAATAAATACTATCATTTTTAGGGGCCCATATTCAGCCTGCAGACCCATAACTGCAGGACACCAAGCCAGGGAATAGGCTTTGTTGGGCCAAAGTGCTGCTTTAGCCTGTGTGGACCTAGTTATTTTGCATGTTGTCTCCCCCATTAGAATGAAAGCTCCCTGAGGATAAGGGCTGACTTTGCCTGTCTTTATATCCCCGGTGCTTAGCATTGTGCCTGCTACAAAGTAAGTGCCCAATAAATGCTTGTTGACTGAATGACCACCTAACTAATGAAGTAATTTACTATTTAGCTGATGCCCTACAGAAGGCAGCATCAGGATGTCCACCAAGCAGACCCTTTCATCACCCATTATTTGTTGACCATTCCCTTCATATGGACTATTTGTGTCATACCTGTGGCAGAGCCTTCCAAGCTCACATTGGTCTGATTGGCCATAATCTGACCCACTGTACCTTGACCCCAACACAGTGATGTCATTTTGGTCCTCTTCGAGAATGAAGGGCAACAACCAAATTTGTTGATTATTCCCTTCATGCAGATTAATACTTGACTCCAGAAATCCCAAAGGATTCTCCCAGCTCTTCAAGGCTATACTAGTTTCTTTCTTTTCAAAGAAAATTATTTATTTTTAACTTTAAAAAAATTGAGTTCTGAATTCTTTCTCTCCCACTTGCCCTTCCCCTTCCTGTTGAGAAGGTAAAGAAATGTGATATCAATTATACATGTGAAATTGTGCAAAACATATTTCCACGATAGCCATGTTGCAAAAAAAAAGGAAAATAAAGAAAGTGAAAAAATTATACTTCAATCTGCACTCAGACTCCATCAGTTCTCCCTTTGGAGGTGGATAGCATTTTTCATCATAAGTCCTTCAGAATTGTCTTGGATCATTTCATTGATCAGAATAGCCAAGTCACTTATAATTAATCATTGCACAAAAATTCTTGTTACTGTGTACAATGTTCTCTTGGTTCTGCTCACTTCACTTTGCATCAGTTTGTATAAGTCTTCCCATATAAGTCTTTGGAAACCATTCTTCTTGTCATTTCTTATAGCACAATAGTATTCCATTACATTCATATACCACAGCTTCTTCAGCCATTCCCCAGTTGGTGTGCATCTCCTCAATTTCCAATTCTTTGCCACCACAAAAAGTGTTGCTATAAATATTTTTATTTTTGTACTACCTTTAATATCTTCCAGGAATTCTTGTTGGACTTGTCTCCAATTAACATTTTTCCCTTTGAGGCTTTGCATTTGGCTGTTATGATATCATTATCCTCTTCTGAGTTTGTGTCTTAATCTTCCCTGTCACCACAGCAGCTTTTTATGGTCAGGTTGGTTTTTTTTTATTGTTGTTTGCTCATTTTTTCAGCCTGTTTCTTGACTTTTAACTTTATGTTAAAGTTGGGCTCTATTGGAGGTGGGTGGAGGAGAGGCACTGTCCCAAGCTTCAAGTTTTTATGCTGCTATTCTCAGAACTAGTTCTTGGGATTTGTAAGTTTTTGGTGCTTCCAAGGTGGTATGATCCAAGGAGAGGTATGGTTACTGTTTTCCTGGCCTGTGCTCTGGTCTTTATCCAGGAAGGGACCTTGCTTTCCTGCAGCTACAAGTGCTAGCGCTTTCCACGCAGGAACTGTGACTGGAGCCCCTATTCCCCTGCAGCTGCAAGCATGAGCACTTCTCTGCCCTGGGACTGTGACCTGGAATTGTGTATGGGCAATGCAACAGGGTCCAGGACCCAGTGCCAGCAAAGAGTTCCCTATAATCTTTCTGACCAACTGTCTAACTCCCTTACCAACTCTGGGCTGAGAGCTCTGAAAGGTGCTGCTTCTCCTGGTGCTTCTTCCCACCCTCCCTCAACCTTCACGCACTTCAGGCTGGCCCCCACCCTAGTGTCCCAAAGTTCTCTTAAGTTGTCTTAGGATGGAAAAAAACATCTCACCCCAACCTTTTGTTGGCTCTGCCACTCCAGAATTCTATTTGAGGTGTTACTTTAAAGTTGTATGGACAGGAATGTTGAAAGAGTTCAGTTGAATCTCTGCCTCTACTCCACCATCCAAGCTATACTACTTTCACCCAATAATCTTATACTAAATTTGTTGCTTTTACTTAACACTGGGATTAGTAGGTTCTTTCTCCATCCCCCATTTCAAGTCCCAGGCTAAGAAAGCACTTAGATTCTTTCCAAATCTCACATTCTTAAGAAGACCTAACCAAAACTCAACTTCCTTCAAACCTGACACCCAGGCTGGGGTGTATTAGCTTTCTACAAGCCTACTTTCTTTACTGCACATACCGTACTTCCCTCATTCTTTCTGGCTCAACATAGAGTAGAGGTGGGTCTGCTCAGAAAGGGCACCCAAAGAGAAATTTCTCAAAAGGATCCATCATATTCATCATATTGATGAGTTGCTACTAGGAACTGGTATTAGGAATGTCTACCCTACAAAGATAAAATCATAAGACTGAACCAAAAAATAAAAATAAATAAAATATTACAGATAATAGTTATCAGGGTTATCTTATTTTCCTAGAAGACTCTCTGATGAAAGAAGCTTTCTGTCTCTTCCAGCACCTGGCATAGTTATATGGATACAGTAGGTGCTTAACAAATTTTTGTTTGTGGTTGGAAGGAAGGTCCCATATACCTCAAAATACTTAAAGTAGCACTTTTCCTGTGAACGCAGTCGATGTTTATTGATTAAGGAATGCCTAAACAAATTGTGGCCCATAAATATAATGGCATATTACTGTGCTATAAGAAACAAGGAATACTGTGTATACAGAGAAGCAGAGGGAGATTTAAATGAATCAATGCAAAGTGAAGTAAGCAGACCTACAGAAACAATATACACAATGACTACAGCCCTGTAAATGCAAAGAATAACAACAAAATAGTAATGAAAACAATTGAAACTGAAGGCTGGGATGTTACAATGACTAAGCTAAAATAGATACGAAAAGGTATTTTGCCCTACTTCTTTGTAGAGGTGGGGGACTATGGCTGTGGGACACCCAATTTAACACCATTTTTTTTTAATGTTTTATGTGCTAGTTAGTTTTCTTCCTCTTTTTTCTTCTTTGTTATAAGACATGGCTCTCTGGGAAGGGACAGGGAAGAGATATATAGGGAAATATAGGTAATGAAAAAAAAGATACCAAAATTTATTTTAAACTTAAATATTTTTGTTATTGGCTATAGCAGAGGTATAGAACATGTCATCCACTGGTGGGACAACATTCCTGAGTGTGGCTAAATCAGATTAAAATATAATCGGGAGGTACTTGACAAAATAAATAAAAATACAATAACATATAAATAGCACTACATTTTAAAATGAAATCAATATGCTTCCTTAAGGGATTTTTATGCATGGCTTGGGCAGGGAGGTGGCACCATGTGCACAGAGTGCCTAGCCTAGAGTCAGGAAGACTCCTCTTCCCGAGTTCAAATATGGCCTTAGACATTTACTAACTGTGTGACTCTGATAAGTCACTTAATGCTGTTTGTCTCAGTTTCCTCATCTGTCAAATGAACTAGAGAAGGAAATGACAAACCACTCCAGTATCTCTGCCAAGAAAACCCCAAATAGAGTCACAATGAGTCAGATATGACTGAAATGACTGAACAACAACAACAAATGTATGGTTTAGTGGTCCCCCTGTTTGTATTTGAGTTTGATACCCTTGAGCTAGTGCATACCACTTTTCTATCCCAAAATTTAAGCTTCTCTTCGAGGCAGGTTTTTCTCATTTGCTACACAAAGTCCACAACTCACACCAATGGGAGTTCAATGCAACATACATGAAAAATGGATTTAAGCCCAATGTTCTATTCTCTTTGAGGTAAACAGAATAGCTCTGATCCTCTGAAGTCTGTTACAGCCCACTAAATTTGAATGGAGGAGAAAGAAGATGGGAAGGTTGAGCTGCTGGGGTGGGGTGGGGGGGGCAGAGATGCTCTCTAACTCTGAGGTGTCAAAAGCACACTGAGAGCCAACTCCTCTGGTGGGGCCTAAACTAGATTAAAACGTAATTGGAAAATATTTAACAAAACAAATAAAAATATACTAGGGCATAGATAATGTTAATATGTGATTTTCTAAGTTAATCTGCGGGAGATCCTTATGTATGATTCAGCGGCCCCAGTCTCTATTTACTTTTGATGCCACGGCTCTAACATCCCCTGACTTTAGAAAGATCACAATGTCAAAGATGAAGAGAGAAGTAGCATCCCAATTAAGAACTCAGGCATGATATTTCCAATAAAGATGGGTAGTAATCCCCATTCAGTTCTAACTCTGTATCTGCAACCCTGGGGAAAAGTGAAAGGGCATGTTCTCAGCCAAATAAGTGATTTTCAAATTAAAGGAAGATAATCTAAAGGGGATAGATAATAGCCTCCCCCCCAACTCTGACTGTAAACATTCTAAATAGAATAACCAAGTGGGTCTGAATGAAATGGACTTCAAACTATCCCGGAAAATGAGATTTGTGAGAAACAATCGATACCTGAGCTCCGGTCAGCCAGCCAAAAAGCACTGGACTATTTGTGCCCTTCCTGGGGTAGAGCCTTCCAAGCTAATATTGGTTTGACCAGCCACAGTTGGACACACTATACCTTGACCCCAACATAGCGATGGCATTTTGGTCCTCTTTGAGAATGAAGGACAGCAACCATTAAGTGCCAACTGTGTGCCAGGTATTGTGATAAGCTCTGGGGATACATAAAAAGGCTAAAGATGGTCCTGCCCTCAAGGAGCTTACATTCTAATGAGGAAGACAATATATGAACAGCAAAGACCAAACAAAGGTAAATTGCAGATACTCAACAGAGGGAAGGCAGCAGACTTGGGAAGAATCAGGAAAAGCTTTCTGTAGAAAGTGGAATTTTAGCTGAGACTCCAAGGAAGCCAGGCAATCCAGGAGGCAGAGATGAGGAGGGAGAGAATTCCAGTCATGGGGGCCAACCAGGGAAAACCCTTATAGCTGGGAGATGGAAGGTCTTGTGTGAGGATCCAATGTCACTGGATTGAAGAATGTGCGTGTGTGTAGGGGGGGTGGTATAAGGAGATGGAAAGTTAGAGGCCAGGTTGTGAAGGGCTTTGAACACCAATCAGAAAGTTTTTCTATTTGATTCTGGAGAGGATAGGAAGCCACTGGAGTTTATTGAGTAGGTGGTAGGGTAGGGTGACATGGTTATGCCTGCTCTTTAGGAAAATCACTTTGGTGGTTGAATGGAGGGTGGACTGGAGTGGGGAGAGACTTAAGGCAGGCAGACCACACCCCTACCCAAAGATAAGTGCAATAGTCCAGGTGTGAGGTGATGAAGACCTGTACCATGTTGGGGGCAATGTCAAAGAAGAAAAGGGGGCGTATAAGAGAGATGTTATGAAGATAAAATGAACACGATTTGGCAACAGACTGGATATGGGGGTGGGCTGAGAGTGAAGAGTTGATGATGACATCTGGGTTATGAGCCTGGATGAGTGAGAGGAGGGTGGTACCACTGACAGTAATAAGGAATTTAAGGAGAGGAGAGGATTTGAAGAGAAAGACAATGAGCTCACTTTTGGACATGTTGAATTTAAGATGCCTATGTGACATCCAGTTCAAGATGTCCAATAGGCAGATGGAGTTAGGAGACTGGAGGTCAGCAAAGAGGTTAAAGCTAGACAAGTAGATTTGAGAATCATCAGCAGAGACATAATTGAGTCCATGGGAGCTTGTGAGATCACCAAGTGAAATAGTATAGAGGAAGAAGAGAAGAGAAGAGAGCCCAGGCCAGAGCCTTGTGGGGCACCTCCAGTTAGAAGACATGATCTGGGTGAAGATTTAGCAAAGGAGACTGAGAATGAGTGGCAGGAGGAGAGGTAGTTAGGGAGGAGGAGAAGCAGAAGAGAAGAGAGTATCAAGGAGGAGATGGTGATCTACAGTGTCAAAGGCTTGAGAGAATTTGAAAAGGATGAGGACTGAGAAAAGGCCACTCAATTTGGAGATTAAGAGATAATAGGTAAGCTTGGGGAGATCAGATGAAGTTGGAAGCCAAACTGTAGAGAGTTAGGAAAGTGTAGACAGCCTTTTCAAGGAGTTTAGTTACAAAAGGCAGAAGAGAACTAGGACAATAGTTAATGAGGATAGAAGGATAAAGTGAGAGTTTTTTTTTTTTTTCAGGAAGAGAGAGACATGGGCATGTTTGTAGGCAAAAAGGAAAGAGCCAATAGACAAAGAGAGATTGAAGATAAGTGAGAGAATGTGGATAATATGGATGGGGAACTGGAGAAGATGGGATGGATGGAATGGGACCACTGGTGCATGTGAAGGAATTTATGTTGGCAAGGAGAAGGGCCACCCCTTTGTGTGAGACAGGGATGAAGAAGGAGACAATGGTAGAAGGCATCAAAGAGATAAGGAGATAAGAGAGAGCTCTTAGCAAATGGCCTCGATTTTTTCAGTGAAATATGAGGCCAAGATTCTAGCTGAGAGGGTTAGGGGGTGGGGAAATGGTTATTTGAGAAGTCTGAGAAGAGATGAAGAAGCTTGGAAAAGCTGTTGTGGTGAAGTGGGATAGTAAATTGACCAGGGATATATAAAAGGATTGCCTTGCTGCAGTGAGGGCCCAGTTGAGATTATTTAACATAAATTTGTATTGGCTTAAGGCAGTACTTCAGAGGGGAAAGTCATCAAGAAATGACATGGTGAATTCCATAAAGAAAGGAGAGGAGAAAGAGTTTTTGTGAGGTCTTTTCAAAAGGCTGGGACATCTTCTTGATCCAAGAAGAATGGAAACTTTAGACTGGTAAAAAGGGTCTTAGAATGGCAGGGGAGGAAAAACCATCCAGACTTTGGTTAAGGTCTACATTGATATTTTCTAGGTATTTGTCATGAATAGGAATTGGAACATTAGTTACATTCATGGAGTTCAGGTACATCTCTTTTCCAAAGTCACAGCTCATAACTGAGGACCAATATTTCCTATAAGGGTACCAAATTTGGGATGAATAGGTGTTAAAAATGACTACTACAACTGGCCCATGGTGGATTGTGCCTTCACCTATGTCCTCAAGTTTAGGAGTAGTTTAGGACAGGTTATTTGTACAATTTCCTCCTTCCCAAATGAACCAACCCGTTTGGAAGATTTTCTAAGCCCATCAAGGGTAAACTTGTCAGACATACTCACATCTGTTGTGTTGAGGGATTTGGCTTCATAATCCCATTTCTCGGTGTCTCTGTGAAGCTGAAATTTTGTACCCAAGGCTCCATGGTTTTCCAGGGTGATGGTCCGTGAAACAATTTCTCCTACCACATATGTGCCAAAGTCAATGAGCTCTTTATCCAGGGACAGCTGCAGAGATAAACCATAATTACCCCTGCCCCAGATAATCAGTTACATCGATTAAATAAACATCTACCATTTCAAGCAGAAAAACATATACTTATTATCATGTCCAAGAAAACGTCCAAGGATTACAATTATTGTCTTTGGCATTTAAAGCCAAATTCTTGGACAATAGTTTGCCACAGGTAGCAACTTGGATATCAGCCTTAATTCAACACTATTTGAAAATGACTTTGGTAGAACCTTATTTGACTGACTTCTTCCTCCTCATTGGAGAGATTTCATTTACAGGAATTGCAGTGGAAGGTCAATCAAGTCTTCCTTTCAGCCTAGCACCTACTCATTGCCTGTAAGACCCATTAAGAAGCCTTCTCATGCAGACTAATCCTGAATGTTTCAGGGATGGTGGTCCTTCTACTCCACAACATTCCTTTTTTTTTTTTTAACAGTTTCTCTCCAGCTGCCTTGCAGACAGTGTTTAATTTTTTAAGCTGCTTCATCTGGATTTCTCATAGTTGTATTCCAGCCCATGCCTCTCCTTCTCATCCCCTCAGTCCCAACTGAAGCCATTCCTTTCTATCCTGAGCATTTACATCTTTCAAGAACTCAATCTTACCTTCTATAGGAAACCTTTCTCAATCTCCCTGCACTCCAACACCCCCCTTTAGTCCTTTCCTTCTGAAATGATCTTACAATACATACATACATATGTATATTAAACACATATCTTTATATATAGTATGCGCCTATATCTTATACATACATAATTGTTTGCATGTTACTTCCCCCATTATAATGTGAGATCTTGAGAGCAAGGACTGAGATTTTGCCTTTCTTCACATTCCCATACGTTATCACAGTGCCTAACACACAGTAAGGGCTTAAGAAATGCTTGTTGACTATATTTAAGGTTCATTTAGATTAGGGATTCTGTCCACAGATCCGAAAGGGGCACATGAATAGATTCCAAGGGGTCCATGAACTTGGATGTGAAAAAAAAACTTTTAATTTCAATATAATTTATTTCCTTTGTAATCCTATTTTAAAAAAATGATGTATTTAAAAACATTATTCTGGGAAGGGTCTGTAGGCTTCACTAGACTGTCAAAGGAACCCAAGGCACAAAAAAAGCTAAGAATCCTGATTTGGGTAGTTTTATTCTATTGGTTTTACTCCTTTTCTTTGGACACATTACCATGCTCTGTGCTCAAACCCAGATTCAATGATGTTCTCCACTAGGGGGGAGGGGGGAGGGCTGGAGGCTTCTAAGAGGTAATTGGAAGGCCCAATCTTGAGACAAAGCCAGGAAAGCCCAACCCAACCTCTGAGAAAGAAGTTTCCAAGAGAGAAATAACCCCTCTGAGAGAAAAGACTGAGCTCAGGGGCAAACAGTGTTTGCCTCTGCCTGGAGTTCCTGTTTCTGTTCCAATCCCTTGCAGTTACCAACAGTGGAGTGGAGGGGCCAGATATCTGAGAGCTGAGGGTATTTTTGCCCCTTGCACATCCCCTTCAATTATAGTCACAGGCAGGACACATAAGAATTTGTAGGAAGCATTATGGACAAGTCTTATTCTCTTTCTCATCCTATGCCCCCAAACTCCCACAGACTTTCAAATATCACTCCAGGCTGGATTTGGAGAAAGGATTTGGTCTGTGGCATAAGAGAACTTGGGGAGAGGGGGAAGGGCATTTCTAGACAAGAGGCAAATGGAAAATGCTTCTCTAGCTGAGCATCAATTCTTCCAATCAGTCATGGAGACTGAAAGACAAAGAACATTTTTCTTTGAAAAGAATTTGCTCTCTCCTTGAAGGGCTTAGAAAATCTTCCAAATGGATTGGTCCATTTAGGAAGGAAGAAATTATACAAATAACCTGTCCTTTTACTTTTAAACTTGAGGACATAACTGAAGGCATAATCCACCATGGGCCAGTTATGATAGTCATTTGTTAACATCTTTTCATTCCTGTAACTACCAAATTTGGTACCCTTGAAGAAAGTATTGGTCCTTAGCCAATTGCTGTGACTTTAGCCAAGAAATTTACCTCAACCCAATGGATGCAATCAATTTTCCAATTCCTGTATGTGACCAATGCCTAGAACTCTTCTACGTTACAAAGTATTCTGTGAAATGAAGAAAGTGCTAGCAGCTCTAGTGGGCTGGAAAATGATTGGGCTTGGGAAACTAAAGAAGTGAGTATTCGTTCTTCTTTCTGGTCTGTTATGTGTGTAGCACTCAAAGGCTAAACTGGAAATGATTCCTTGATTTTACTGGAAATTTGCTCTGGATCCCAGCAGGAAATTTAGTCTTGCGCCATTCATGAATTCCTACTCAAGTCTTTCCTTTCTCATACAGCCTGAATGGATACAAATGTGTGTGTCTGCCTCTGATTCAAATTGGAAATCAGAAAATAGATTAATTTCTGTACTTTTCTTTATCAACACAGAGTAAGGAATAGGTTCCTTGTAAACTGGCACAGAGGACAAGGAGGTCAAATTCAAGAGTTCTAGGTATCTGGGAAGAGGCTTAACTTTACGAGTTTTTCATTGATTTGATTAATTTAAAAAAAAATCTGGGGCTGATCCTGTGATTTCAGAGGTATAGACAAATTCTTTCCTGAGAGGAACTCCCTTTAGGAAGGCAGGTGGGAGCCCCCTCTTCAACTTCAATGTTTAGAGAGCTGTCTGGGAGCACCACGAGGTTAAATGAGATAGCTGAGAAGTATCAGAAGTGGAACTTGAATCCAGATCTACCTGACTGTGAGGCATGGCTTCCTTCTACTACTCCATACTGTCTCTTAGTTTGATTGGGAGTCAATCAATTTCACCCATTAGGAATTTACAACAATATCTAATCCACAAATACCCATCAAGGGAAGGCTTCCAACAGATCTGAATCAGAGGCAGAATTAGATTGTGAGCAAAAGGGCCACTCTAGGGAACAGACTCTGGGTTTAGGAGATGGGGAGGCTCAGTGGCCAGACAGCTTGGTGGATTTGGACATGGCCGTTGGACACTCTTCAGACATTTGCTTGTTTTAAGTCCACGAACATTTCTCAACCAAGAAAACCTTGGGGGGAAAGTAGATTGTGTAAATTCTTTTACTTACAACACATTTCTTTGTTGTACATTTCAGTGGGATAGAAAATGAACCTGTCTGAGCCAAAAACGTGATGTTGCCTTCAAGTTCTTTATTTATCTTTGAGAAACAAAACAAAACAAAACAAATATAACCATTATGAACCTTCCTCCTTCCCTTTTCTTTCCTTCTTTCCTCCCTCCCTCCTTCCCTTCATTCCTCTTTCCTTCTTTGCTCTTTCCTTCCTTCCCTCCCTCCCTCCTTTCTTCTTCCCTTCCTTCCCTCCCTTTCTTCTTTCCTTCTTCCTTCCTTCTTTACTTCCCTTCTTTCCTCCTTCCTTCTTTCCCCTCGTTCCTTCCCTTGGGTCTCAGTTTCCTCATCTATAAAAGGAGAGAGTTGGATTCAAAAGCCTCTGGGGCCCCTTCCAACTCTGGATCTATGACCCTTGGATTCCTATAGAGCAGCAAAGCACCTGCAAGGGGGCCAACGCACCCACCCACCACTTGAGCCTCTGACTGCCTTCCCCAGAAGGACATCTCCCAGAATCACTTGCTGCACCACCAAGGGACATGGGATTAGCAAACTCAGATCATCACAAATGAACCTTTGCAAGCTTCTCAACAGCCTTAGCAGACTGTTCATTCCCATGTTCTTCCACACCTGCCACCTTGGAAGAAGATGGGTCAGTCTGACAATGGATTGCTGACCCAGAAGGCCATGCAGAGCTAACTTAAATACCTTCCCTCTCCCTAAACCAGGTATGGGTAGAGCTCCTGAGGCTCATCTCCTTGTCCGGGTTTCCCTTCCTCTTCACCCATCACTAACAATGACAATAAGTCAATATGCTTTCATTTCTTTCAGCAGAAATGGAGACAAGAAACACTAGTAACCCGAGGAGTGACTTTAGCAGGCTTAACCCACCCCTGGTGCTTCCATGTGGTCCTTGGATCAAAAACACTTACCATGGGCCTAAAGGTGATGAGGACCTCACATGAAATTCCAGCTGACATTGGACCTGGAGGATCAAAGCTGCAAGCAGAACAAAGCTTCATTAGACTGATAAGGAAACAGGCTGCCATTTTTAGAGCTTTGGGACAAAAGTAACCAGGTTGCCAAAGTTCACTGCTGTGACCAAAAGGGGCTTTGGGGAGGAAGTAGATGAACCAGTCAGTGCTGAACACAATTTGTTGCTGTCTGTCATGTCTGACTCTTCATGACCCCATTTGTTTTTTTTTTGTTTTTTTTTTTACAAAGATACTGGAGTGCCATTTCCTCCTCCAGCTCATTTTGCAAGTGAGGAAACTGAGGCAAACAAGATGAATGACTTGCTCAGGATCACGCAGCTAGTAAGTGTCTGAGGCCATATCTGAACTTAGGAAGGTGAGTCTTCCTGACTCCAGGCCTTACACTCTATTCACTGGGCCACCTTGTTGCCCCATTGCTGAACGCAATAGGGCTTTCTTAATAATAATAATAATAGCTAACATTTCTAGCACGTATGATGTGCTCAGTGCTTACAAATATTATTTCACTTGATCTTTACAACAACCTTGGGAGGTAAGTGCTATTACTATTCTCACTTTACAGATGAGGAAACTGAGGCAAACAGAGGTTGTGATTTGCCCAGGATCACATAGCCAGTAAGTGTCTGAAGCCAGATTTGAACTCACTTCTTCCTAAGTTCAGGCCAGGTGCTCTGTCCACTTGGCAGGGTGAAGGGAAGGTCCTAAAGGAACGGGCATGTGCATTGAATGGAGAAGCCCAAGGGAGGTAGGGCTAAGGGAAGGGCATGAGGGCAGCCTGATAAGGCCTTCACACTGACACCAGGCCTGATACCTCTGAACTAAGGCAGCCCGCCGACTCCCTTACCCTGGAATCAGGACTGACACCTCCCAAGCAGAACTGGGCAGGGGCAAGGTTGCTTCTAGGGAGCTTCCAGCCCTGTGGTTTGGGAGCTGTGGTAGTGGTGGTGGTGATGATGGTGGTGGTGATGGTGGTGGTGATGGTGATGGTGATGGTAGTGATGTGGTGGTGGTGGTGACGATATAACCTTCAGATGGCACTCTTGGCTGGCTGATCCGCCCCAATGTCTGAAATACATCAGTTACTCCTCTGGCTTAAGACGCTGAGACTCCCCATTAAAAAATGTAATCTGAGAGGAAACCACTACCACCTCCTAACACCTTATACCTTAGCATACATTCAGGTGCAGTACATTAGCTCCCCAGATGCTGAGGGGACACAGCTCAAGTCGGTTTAGATGTTTGAAGGGAGTGAACTCCCATAGTTCTTTCTTTAGGACCATCTCCAGTCACCCTGATCTATGTCTGGCCACTGAACCCAGATGGCTCCAGAGGAGAAAGTGAGGCTGGTGACTTAGCACAGCCCTGCCTCACTTAAATCCAATTCACTTGCAAGTCATGGCATCACCTTCCTGATGTCATGGTCCTCTTCGAGAATGAAGGACAAACAAGACTTCCCAATAAATGAATGGTATTCGTACAACCTGGAAGTGCTGCTGATGGTGGCTGGTGGTGATTCTCCACCACCTAGGCATGGATAGCTCTGCTTTAATAGTCTCTTAGGTCCAACAAGCTTTGACTGGGTTCTCAAGAGACTTCTCTCCAATTGGTGAGTTTGGTAACCTGATTGGGGTAGGGGTGGGGAGTATAAAACAGGCACAGTGGGATCAGGACCTGACATCCCAAAAGAATAATTCTGTCCCACTCCCTTCCTCAGAGGACTGGAGAAGAAGGACAGAGCCCAATGACCTTGTCCTAGCATTTCTAGACTCATTTATATGCTTGGAGAATAACAGCAGCATTCTCAAGTACAAAAGACAAGGCTCAAAATAGGACTTGGAATGTGAAGGGAAATTCACTAGGCCAGGAGTTGCCACAGAGGGAGCTTTAGACAATGGGCAGTAGCTGGCTCTGTATGGAATTGTTTAGGTTCCAACAGGCTGTGGTAGGGGCTGGAGGGGGGATAAGCGTCGCAGCTTCCTAGTGGATGGAGCAGCCAAAATTTCAGAGTGCATCTCGGCTTAGCAAAGTGGCAGATGGCATCGAGCTATGAGACGGAATCTTTGAAGGATGAAACCAGCAAATGGAAGATATGGCTTATTGATTGGACAGCCTGGAATGTTAACTCACTGAGATCAAACTGGGCTCTTTGGACCAGCCCGTTGAAAGGCCTCTGACTATTTGGGACGGACCAATCCAATCTCTAAATTCTAAGCTTGGATATCTTGTGATCTTATCACCAACAATGGTCACTATTTCTGATTTTTCAGTTATCTGTTGCCGTAATCAGGGATGGCTTCAGCTAGAAGTATGACACCAGCCTTTTTACCCTCAGTTGGGAGACTTTCTCCTCTCATGGCCCTTTTCTGTCTCTGATACCCAAGATCTTTATGATGACCAGGTATCTCCCTTGAAGCACCAGCTACCCTGTGGAAAACACTTGTTGAGCAATCGTTAGATATTTAGTTAAAGGGATATAGACATAGGTGAGCCACCATGAGGGTGCACCCCCAAGGAGAGCACATGTCAGGGGGAGGGGGATACAGAACATTGCCATAAAGTGCAAAAACATGAGGAAGGATGTGATAAGAATCCTAAAGAAAGTACTAAAGAAAGAAAGTTCACCCCCTTCCAACATCTAGACTGACTTGAGCGGTGTCCCCTCAGCATCTGGGGAGCTAATGTACTACACCTGAATGTATGCTAAGGTATAGGATATTAGGAGGTCCTCCCAGATTACATTTTTAATGAGGAGTCTCAGTATCTTAAGCCAGAGAAGTAGCTGATGTTAGTATTTCAGACATTGTGGCAGATTGCCCAGCCAACAGTGCCAGCTGAAAGTTACATCATTACTACCACCACCACATCACCATTACTATCACTATTACCACCACCACATCACCATCACCGCCTCCACCAATGTCATCACCATCATCGTCATCAGTGCCACCACCATCACCACCACCATCACCACTACCACCATCACTATCATCGTCATCATCACTATCACCACCATCATCATCACTGCCGCCACCACCACCATAGCTTTTATTTATACAGCATTTTAAAGTTTGTAAAGTGCTTTCCATATGTTAACACATTTGATCTTCACAACAATCCTGGGGAGGGGGGTGAGTGTCAGCATACAGAGACTCATGGTTGCTATTGCAGGAGACTAGGAATTAATCCCTGCTAGCTAGGTGGAGCAGTGGATAGAGCACTGGACATCAAATCAAGCAGATCTGAATTCAAATCCTGCCTCACATACTTACTAGCTGTGTGACTCTGGGCAAATGCTTAACCTCCTTCAGCTTCCTGAAAGGGTTAGATTCGATGGTCTCCCAGATCTAAATCTCCTATGATTACCAAGGATGAGGCAAAAGTGATGTTGGACAGGCTGGGTTGCTCACCAACGTAAGAATAATGTAATCAAGTAAGATGGTGCAGAGAGGTATTGTCCAAGGAGCCTGTAAGGCATCAGTAGGGACTAAAGTCAGCAGACTGAGGCAACAACATTCCTTGGAGATAAGGCACTGTCTCTTCCCAAGTTCCCTGCCAGTAACCTCCTCCAGGGATCCCACCTTTGTTGGGAATGGTAGGTGGAAATAAGAGAGATCCAAATGCCTTCAGGAGCTCAGGAGCAATTGAGGACCCCAGCCAATTCTTGTAACAAACTATGTATGCTTTAGTTTAAAAAAAGAAAATATATCTGGGACACTGTGATTTCCTTTGGGCTTGATTCAAAGTTCATTAAATACCTAATGGTGGATTCAATGCATGTTCAATTGACTTAGTGAAGTTGAGTTGAATCAGAAGACTGGGAGAACGTTGAATTCCCAGGTCTGCGAGACACGTGGCTAAATCCCCAAATTTAGGTTTTCAGAACTGATCCTTCTTAGCTCTGTGTACTTACTGGATAGTAATGAAATCCTTGAGATGATCCTCCACTCCTACCAGCTTGCAGTAGTTAATCGTGTAAGATGCGTTGATTAATGTCATCTTTTTTTTATATGTTTTACCAACATCAAAGTTCTAGAAATATCAAAGAATAAGACACTCTTCAAAAGAGAGTTGGCATCATTTTCATAGACTTATCAAGGAAGAAATGAAGCTATCTATGTTGAAGAAGCTCAGACACATACAAAGTGACATCTTCCTTTCACTAACCATGTTTGTTTGAGATTCACATTGTCAATACACTTGAGAGCTCTGTTTGACTACAGTAATAACAAGCCTCTCAACAATTTATGCTATAAATGATCACCAAATCAATTTCTTTTTTTAATTCAATTTTATTTTGTTATTTGAGCTGAATTCTGTTCCTTCCACGTCCTTCCCCATCAATAAATTTCAATTGAATTGATCAAGCAATGACTATGTCCAAGACATGCTAGGCACCAAGAAGAGAAAGCTGAAACAAGATGGTCCCCACCCTTTTAAGGTGTTCATTCTAATTTGTGTTATAAAGGTTAATTTTTGTGTATATCTAACCCTATTATGTGATAAATGAGTGAAAATGGGTCAAATATGGAGGGGTGAGAGTTTGAAGAGAAGAGGTTCATTTGTAACTTGGCAGTAGGAAGGGGTTGGAAATGGTGGCACTTAAAGTTAGTGTATCAATTAAATTGTTTCCAAGGGAATGTTGGGTTTTTTTCCCCTTCCTTTAAAGCAAAAAAAAAAAAAAGAAAGAAAAAAGAAAGAAAAAAAGGAAGGAAGAAAAAAGAAAGAAATAAAGAAATAACCAAACAAACTAATTTAAGATCAGCTCCAAATGAAAACACTTGTTATGAAAAAAAGCCGCATGTGAACTTAGGGTGTAGACCGCTTGATACAGAATTTCTAAGCAAAAACTCTCCTAATGACTGGCTAATATATCAGGTGCTCAGGTGAAATAATAACCCATTACAGGAGGCAACTACGTGTTTCAGATATGATATCAGAATCAACCCATCAACAAGTATTAATTAAGCACCTTTTACACGTGTCAACCACCATTCTCTTAAGCACAGAGTATCCAAAAACAGGGCAAAATAATGGTGGTCCCCGCCCTTTAGGGGGCATAGTATGTACTGTCTTCTCTTTCAGAATGTAAATTCTTAGGCATCCTGGGAGCAATTTTATGCCTCATGTCAAATAAGCCAAATCAGTGAGCTCCTCCCTCCCTCCTTCCCATCTTGTTAAGAGAGTATGAAAGTTCAATTTTGGCTCTTATGAGAGACATAAAACTTTTTCTGGGGCACCATTTCTTTAATTGACCTTTATGGTCAATCTCTGACCTCTCTGAAAGGATTTATTCCTTTAAAAAAATAAGACATATTGCAAGATCTCATAAAGATGGCAGCTAACTTGCTTTATTCATTCATTTCTTCCTCTCATAGTCATCAGAGAACATTAATAAGTCCTTTTTTTAAAATCCAGACCAAAAAATAGACGTTGGATTATCCAAGTAAGTAAATTGTTTTTTATGCTTTTATTTCTTAGGTCCCTTATGAAAACCCACCTTAAAGTGAATGAGATCAGGCTTGCTGTAGAAGGGGCAGCCCTTAAATTCACGCCCAGACACTACTTGTTTGTGGACCATCCCGCTCCGGAGCTTCTCCAACGTGTTCGCCAAGATGTCCTGTTCCATCTTTGTCCCACCCACAGGCTTGCGTTCCACCTCATCTTTTGGCACCTTGGAATTTAATCAAAAATGTAAAAGTATTAAAAATAAATCTATGCCAGGATGTCTCTTCACAAACAGCAAATGGACTTTGTAAAAGAATAAAAGGTCAAAGATTTGATATGTTAACAAAGTCCAAAGCCAAGATTTGCCAGTTGCCAGTGAAGAGAGCAGACAAAGGATATGGGTTCATCATATCTTTTTTTTTAGGGCTACAGAATTTCAGAATTATTTAGTCAAACCCATATTTGAATTCCCTCACAATAGACCTATTAACCTGTGATCTAAAAACCTTCCTTGATGAGAAGGGGCATCCAATGTGCTCCCATGGCAGTTCATTCTACTTTAGGATGGCTACAGTTTTTTTTTTTTAACATTTATTTTTTAAAAATTTTGAGGTCCAAATTTGTCCCCTCCTTCCTGCTCCTCCCCCACCCATTGAGAAGGCAAGCAATAGGATATTAATTATATATGTGAAATAATGCAATACATATTTCCATATAAAGATGGCTGCAATTGTTAGGAAGTTTTTATGTCAAGTAAATTTGCTTCTTTGCAATGTCTACCTTTTGGTCCTTCTACCCTCAGGGCCAAATGAGAACAAATCTGAATCTTCCACATGATGGCCCTTCAGATACTTGAAGACCATATTTTTGCCTCACCTTTCCAAACCTAAGTAACCTTGTCTCTAGGCTAGAAGTTAACAATTCCTTTGCTGTATCTAAATAGGAGCTGCCCCACTGGGGACCCAAGTGGAACTGGCCAATTGGGCAACATAGCTCTTTCTTTTTTTCTTCTTTC